TATGTATTTTTTTTCATGTATGAGTTGGGGGTGGAGTGTGTGTATGATTCATGTATGTGTGTGTGAGGAGGTGTGCATGCATGTGGGAGGGACACACCTGCATCTATATGTGTGTTCACATGGAGGCCAAAGATATTGAGTGTCTTCCTTAGTCTTTTTGCCAATATTTTTTGTTTGTTTTGAGAGATGATCTTACTATATAGCTTGGGCTAGCCTGGAACTCACTATGTAGACCAAGATAACCTCAGACTCACAGAAATCTGCCTTGCCTCTGCCTCTCAAGTGCTGGAATTAAAAGTGTATGCCACCACACCTGGCTGTGCTGCACACACCTCACTATGCCACTCTAATTTTTTGAGACAAGATCTCTCACTGAATCTAGAGTTCACTGATTTGGCTAGACTGCCTGGCCAATAAGCCCCAGGGATCTTCCTGTCTCCATCTCTCCAGCTCTGGTCCTACAGGTACAAGCCATCACACCTGGCTTTTTGGTGGATGCTGGGCATGGAACTCAGGTTCTCATGCTTTCATAGCAAGCACTTTGTTAACTGAGCCATCCTCCTAATTCCCAATCCTGTGTTTTTTAGCAGAACTAACAGGTGTTCCAAAGAGTAATTGTGAAGGTTTTTTTAATACCATAGCTAAGAAGGTTTATTTCAGAAATTCTTTGATGAAAAGAGAAAAATTGAATGCCAAATATTTTCCTTAAAACCAAGATACCTATATTTGACCTCTAATAATTAAAAAAATCATTTTGGTAATTTGTGAGTTAAGAAAAAAAAAGAATATTTTCCCACTAGCTTCTGTAACTGAAATAATAAGTATGTATATATGCGTGTATATATGTGTTTTTTTTCCATAAGGAATTGTACCCTTACACTTACTAGACCAGTGCTTTATCATTGAGCTACATTCCTATTCCTTAAGAAAAATTCCCAATTTATTTTATAACCATTTGCTATGTGATTTTTGTGCCAAGTTCTCAATTGCATCTCCAAGCATGGTTTTGAAGCTTTGATTATCATAGTACTCTTAGAAAATGTGGATTACTAGAGACCTGTACTGGGTAGAACCTGGAAATGTCCTTTTGTCTTTTTGAGACAGGGTCTCCCTGTAGCCCCAGCTGTCCTAGAACTTGCTGTGTAGACTAGGCTGGCCTTGAACTCACAGAGATCTGCCTGCCTCTGCCTCCTGAGTACTGGGATTAAAGGCGTGCACCACCACACCCGGGGGAAATGTCCATTTTTTGAATTTCTCCAGTAATTTCTGATGATTAGCCATTTTGGAACAATTTCCATAGACAATTCAAAGAGTAATGTGACTTTCAAAGGTTATGATCAGTAAATTAGCCATGTTTGTTTTTAAATTAGGATAAGAAATGTAAAGTACTTGATATTTATCCCTCTTTTTAAAATTTTCACTAGAAAACTAGAAGCTTCTTTTAACTTTTTCTTTTTTTCATTTATTTAATTTAATAACCACATGATTAGAAGAAACATTTCATCACAGCTTTAACATATTCAGTAACTATTTCCAGAGCAAGGATACATCTATTTCAAAAATGACTGTAAATTTTTAGGTTCACAGTTCAATTACTACATTTATACACTATTGAATTCAGTATAAACCCTGTAAGACATAAAATTGAATGAGTTTTTACCCTTTAAAGAAGATCTCCATTTCATTTTAAAATATGCTGATTCTTACATTTTTATGGTCTTTTAAAAAAATTTATTGATTTTTTGTATTTTTATGTCTTTTTTTTTAATTAATTGATTTTTTGTGTGATTCCTACATTTTTAATCCTACTAACACTTAGATGTTTGCACATGTGTCTTTGATCTCTATGTATCTGATTATTATGTCACATTAACTTTTTAAAAAATATTTTATTTTATTTTATGTGTTTGAGTGTATTGCCTGCATGTATGTGAGTGCACCCGTGTTGTGCAATGCCGCAGAGGTCAGAAGAGGGCTTCGGATTCCCCTGGAACTGGAGTTAAGGATGGTTCGTAGCCACCATGTGGGTGCTGGGAATCGAACCTGGGTCCTCTGCAAGAGCAGTCAGTGCTCTTAACCGCTGAGCCATCTCTCCAGCCCCTAGTCACATTAACTTTTTCTTATGCCTCCATATATTTTTGTCTACAGTAAAAGTTAGACAATGTGATTGAACTGTTTAAACACCTAGAGCAAATTTTAATAAATTGTTTTCTAAATTGACATGTTGCTACTTCATGCAACTTTTGCTTTTGTTCTGTGAAAAGAAGCCTTTAAAATTTAACTATATGAGAGAAATTTGTTAGAAATAAAAAATAGACCTGAAAATGCATATTTCCAGTTATTTAAAAGAGAAATTATTTTTATAACTTGAATCAGATTTCTAAATAAATTCTAAATCACTGAATACCACTGAAAGAGATGTAAACTGAAAGAGATGTATCTTTGCTCTGGAAACTGAATATGTTAAAGCTGTAATGAAATGCTTCTTCTGAAAAAAAAAGAGTGGGAAGGAAGGTCTATGATTTATGCTTATCATGCTAATTCCTAAAAATCTAGACAGATCCTCATTACTTTTTGTTGAACATTGTAATACCTTTTCTAATTTCTACATTGCTGTATGGCAAGCAGTCTATTCTTACCAGTTCTGTTTCTTTGGAGACCCCTGACTAATACAATTAACTTTTCAAAAGTACCTGAGAAAATCAACTTGGCGAATTCATTTTGAGTGTTTCAGAGAATTCTGTCCAGAATCATTTGGTTCCATCTGAAGAGACTGTGGTGAGGCAGAACATCTAGTAGAGCTGCTCTACTATGGTAGCTGAGAAGGAGAGATGGAGCAGAGGAGTAGAAGGGGTAGAGGACACTGGAAGGGCCAAATACACCTTTCAAAGGTGTGGACTACTTCCTCCAACTAGGCCTACCTCCTGAGTTTCCACCACTTATCAATAGTGCCACCAAACCTGAGCGTTTGGGGGAACATTCCAGGTTCAATTCATAACATTGCTTTAGAATTTTACATGAATAAGTTTTTATTTTGCTGGGAGAATTTAATAAGATTGAGCATGATGATCAATTTTGTGTGATAACTGGACTAGATCACTGAGTTTCCAGATAGTTATTGAACTGCTATTCCATGAGAATGGTATGGATGAGACTAACATTTTGTTTGTTTATTCATATATTTATTATTACTGGGAATTGAACCTAGGGCCTTGTGCATGCTGACCAAGCTCTCTATCACTATATCTCTATCCTAAGACTAACATTTAAATCAGTGGACTTGAGTAAAGTAGTTTGAACTACCTATTATGGGCTTCATCCAATCAGTTGAAAGTTTGAATTGAAGAAAGAGACCTGCATTTCCTAGCAAGAGAGAATTGTTCAGCTGACTGCCCTTGGATTTCATTAATACCGTTAATTAGTTCCCCTTATTGTGTGTGTGTGAGGGGGTCTGTGCGGACGTATATGTGTATTTGTTTTTGTTTGCTTCAAACGTCATCTGCATTATCAGGGACTAATAATTGTTTAGCCCTGCAGTTAACAACCAGCAGGGCACTTTTATTCTCTGTTCTCTAAATGCAGATTAGTGTCTAAGCAGTGTGAATCCAGGTTGAGTCCTTTCCCTTTTTATAGCTCCTCCTTCCACATTTATGCATATGTGGAAGTGGAGCCAATTGACATGAATGTCAAAGAGAACCTAGAAGGGATGATGAATAAACCCAGCCTTGTTGGTGGACATGTAATGGAAACATTACATTACTCTAACATTCCCTCCTCTGAAGAGG